AAATAAAATTTGGTGGATATGTACAAACATACATATTTAGAAATTAAACTTGTCATTAGGAATAACTATATTAGTTATGAATTAGGTGTTTTCAACATTTTAAGGTAGTCACTAAACATGCATAGATATCTCTTTTAAATGATTTACTCGGCACATAAGCTTTTAGTCAGCATATATTAACACGTATCTATCCATATTAAATTAATTATTGATCTTCTATAAATTCATAGATTGTGATTAAATTTCAAATCTATCCCCCATTGGTCAACTTTACATAGAGAGCCTTTGGACTACTATATATACTTGGTTATTGGTTCAAAACATTTCAGATGTTCTATGAAAATAAAATTGTTTTCTTTGGTTTGATATAGTTGGAGGTAAACTCTAATCGGTCGGTGATTTACCAACAAGCTGATTAGAGAGTTTGCATCTTGACTTAGCTTTTTGGTAGATCATGGATTTGATTAGAGCTTGATTCCATGTAAAAGTTGCTTAGTATTGAAGATGAATTCTAGTTGGTTAACGATTTACCAAAAACATTGTTGGAATAATATGCCATAAGTGTTTTGGTAAATTGTTGTTCAACTAGAGCTCAATTTTTCATGAAGATGGAACATGACTATCACAAGGTTTCCACCAAATATGTCACCCTTTTTCCCTACCTTTTGTTTGTTTGTTAATATTCCATCTTGTTTTTATTTTTTGGTTTTCTTTTACTATCAATTTGCCCTTCTTGTTAGATTGTTGCCTCTTATGTTGAATGGTGAGAAAAATTGAGCTCCATATGAAGGTTGCCCAATAACGTTGAAATAGACACATTTTCATAGGTGTATAATACATGACCGATCATTTCAACATGAACAAACCGGGCAAGTAATTCCACACATGCACTTGCCAAATAGTTCACAAATTCTCCTAATTGGTGAACGGTCAAAGGTGGAATCGCTTCCAACAAAAGCTCAATCTATCAACAAAATGACTATATTCGTCATTCTTTAAACTAGATTCTAAAATGTGCTAGTCAGGTAGATGTTAAGAGTCTAGTGTTTAGGAGGCCTAAGCGGTTTGTTTCTAATTAAATTTATTATATAATAATAATAAAATATAAATAGGGAATTGTAATTAACACTCCAACAACCTCATTTGGTATTCCAAACTTTCTATAATTAGAAAGAAAAATACACGTGTGAGGAGTATAGAATGAGATTTTTGGAGTACTAATAACCGTTACTATAAATAAATGTCTAATATAATTTGAAAAAACTAGTATTTGCTATTTGAAGACATAAAATGTAGAAGGAAGGATATATCTAAATGAGGCCCACACACAATGTTTATGTAAATATAAAACAAAAAAAACAAAATTTTTATTTGTGGAAAATTATTTTAATGCCCATAATTTTTATTTTCTAATACTTTCTTTCAATTATGCATGGAAGGGTATTATAGTATTTTTATTAGTTTTTCTTTTTGTTGACATATATCCAAAATAAAGTAAAAAAGTTGAGGTTTTAGAAACAAAATAAAACTAAAAGAATAATGTTTTAAAAACAAAATAAAATATAAAAATTGTGGCTCACCACCTTCACCTTAATCTCTCGCCATCTCGCTTTCTCCAACCTTTCCTCTCTGCACTTTCTCCTTCGCCACCATGGCTCACCACCACTATCCATTAATCTAGCTTTTAAACAGTGATTTGTACCAATTTCTGAAAATCAAACACAATCTCAACCAAAAATTTCAATTTTCAACCTAGCACAACGATTTGTTTTACAATTGCACACCTAAACCGCCTAGACATATAGAATTATTACAATATGAGTATGAAAATTTTGGTGTTCACATTATCATATTAAGTCAGTAGAATATTTTGTCATACCGAAATTTGGTATGATAATACTAATAAATTTTGTCATACCAAAAATTTAATACAAAAATGTTGATACGATAACCGTCCCACGTCCCACCCTAATCATCATATCACATTGTCCCATTTCGGAAAGCAATAACTGGATACATAATCTGCGACTTTAATTATTCGACTATTTTGTTTCTTCCTTGTTTTATTTTGTTTGGATGTGAGTTGTTTTGGTTCACGTCTTGAAGAAAGTGGCAATATTTTTGCCACGTCGGCTACACGTCTGCAACACAAGGTTTTCTTGGCACCAGATTTTCCTTTTATAATAATTATTGTTAATTTTAAAAGGAAAAAGAAGAGAACTTTAATAAAAAGTTACCACTACTGTTCACTTTAACAAAAAATCATATTTTTTTATTAAAAAGTCAATCCTAGTACTATTCATTTTACCCTTTATTTTGTCCTTATCGTTAAAATTCAAAATTTTTAAATCATTTTCATTAATTTTTCTAAAGAATAATTACAAAAGAAGATGACTCAGATATGAGAGTGACCGATTAAGTTGAAGAGATAAGGCTTTCGTAACCTCCTCAAGAAAACTTATGGTCCACCTATTAACTACACGCCCGCTCCAAATCATCACTTGCAGGACCACAAAAATCAACATCAAGATCTAAGAGGTTCATTGAATGCTTTTTGTTATTTTAATGAATATCGTACTCTTTTTTTTTTTTTTTTTTTTTGTAACGTACGATCTAATGAATATCTTAATTAGCATTTGTCAATCAGAGTCTATGTAAATTAATATCGCTTTTATACGTACGTTCGAGAGCAATTATTCGTGAAGACGAAGGTTGGATTTTATATACAAGTTATTAAGCATGAAGAAAGCAAGGTGGTGCTCAAAATGTTCGGAGCACTGCAGATTTATTATCAATAGGATGTCGAATTTTTCTCAGCAAAACTTAGGTCGATATATTAAAAAACATGCAACATTTATAGATTAATTTGGTTAATTTCAAACATATCTCCCCCTCACGTTTTCTATTACGGGGTTGCTGGTGGTGCGACTAGGATGGGAATGGCCTTACACCCCTCCTCACATCTACTCATTGCGTGATTAGTACAGACGATGCGATCAAGGTCGAGCTTTATAATTTGGTAGTCCTATGCGAGCCTTAGAAGTGGGGGTCTAGAGTTCTCTGACCTGTGACCCTTTGTACATGGCCGGCTCTAGATGCGATTGTGAGAGGAATGCGTACATGGACTGCCAAAACTATCTCACAAACAATTAAAAAAAAAAGGGAAAAAATGCCAATCTATGGAGAATCAGTCAATTAAACGAATATATAAAAACGAAGAAAACAAATGCCGAGTCATTGAAGCAGTTAGGTTTGAATAGTTCATACTTGGGGGCTTAAAGACTTTGTTAGAACCACATGCTAAATTGGTAATGATATTCCAGCACTACTACCTTCTCTCTTATCCTAAATCAACCAAAGCCAAGAAAATTTGTAATTCTTGAGATATTTTCTGATTCACAAAAATGCAGTGTCGTCTGTGTGCGTGCGTGTGTGTGTGTGTGTGTGTGTGTGTGTGTGTGTGTGTGTGAGTGAGAGAGAGAGAGAGAGAGAGAGAGAGAGAGAGAGAGAGAGAGAGAGAGAGAGAGAGAGCATCCATAGACCAAAGACAACCCCAGCTAGCTTGTTTGTGCACTGTTCAAAACAAAACCACCCAATGCTTATCACAACAAACTACAGATATAGGTCCTACGTTTCGTTTCGTTTCGTTTCGTTTTTCACAGAGAAATTTTTATGGCCTCAGTCAATTGATAAACTACTCCAAGCAAATAAACCAACATTCGAAAATAAAAGGAAGAATAACGTACCTGAAGATATTCTCGTATGCTAGCAATTACAATCTAGATATTTTGCAGAGTGGTACCTAGCTACATTTCATTATTAACGAACATTAAAAGCGTTAAAACATGCACAACCAATGATATACAGCAGTTCATAAACAGTTTGACATGCCCAAGCAACTTTCTTAAACATTTTTGGGATCCCTAATAGCGTCGCCCGATAACTGATCCCTAAGGCCAAGGTTATGGTGAATCGAAAGATAAACCTACTATTGCACTGTACTGGCTAGATACGATGGACTATAACCAAAATAAAGTAAAACTCAAATCACCTGCAAAATTCCTAAAACAAAGATCAAGAGACGATCGAGTGAATCAATTTAAAAACTGAATATAATTCCTCTAGCTAGACCAAGTTTAAATTACAGTAAGTATATACTATCTGGTCACCATTTTATCTGAGCTAAGTAGCCACCGAAACAAAAGCCTCAATTCAGTCACTTCACGCGGGTTTAAGGATAAATGGACAAACTTGGATAAAAACATGGAAAATGACAGGTTAATATGGTATTTGGTCTAAAATATCACAAGGCATGAATCATCAGTTGAAGATATTTTCATCTTTAGAGAAGAGCTCAAGATATTCCAATTTTTCACAAGAGCTAGCTCAAGATATTTTAATCATATAAGAATATCCAACCAAGATGCATGCATGCATGCATGGTTGCTGCTTCAAGTGTGTTGATTGCAGCTTCAAGTCTGTTAAGCATTCTAAATAAACTATCCAAATCTTATGACTAATATACCCCTGAAAATCATTCCTAAGTCCTAAGTCAAGGCAGTCCCAAAAACAATTAATTGGTTTTTTTAATTAATTTTAAAATTTTCACCTGTACTATAATTAAATCCAGAAGTCCTTGTCGTCAATTGCTAGTTGCAGATATAGCTAGAGCCTCGTGACCTCATGATATTCTTATGTAATCTTTCTTTTTCTTTCGGGTTTATGCCTCATTGTCAACCAAAATACAAATTCAAAAGCTCCTTGTAATAAAATAAAAATTCACATTTTCCTGGAAATTGCAAGAATGGAAGAGGTGTAAACACGCAGAGAGAGAAAACGACTTTGAAACAGTGAGCTGAGTCAGACCAACAAAATAAAATAAAAATAAAATATCAGCTGACCTATTTTGATCTTTTGCACTTTTTCCCCTTTCAACTGGAGCCCGCCAAACTGGCCAAAGAAAAAACCTTAAGAGGGAAGTCATTTTTATAAATAAGGAAGCAACCCCTTCATCCATTCTCATCACTTTTTTCTCCTCTCCCTACCCTTCCCTTCCCTTCCCTTCAAAACACAAAACACATTTTCAGTAATTAAATGACGTTAACTCTCCGTTCTTCAACTTCGTTCGTCAATCTTAAAGACCACAAGGGCCTGAAAACCTCCGATGACTCCCCCGGCACGATATACTTTGCGCAAATCAAGCCATCATGCCGTCTCCGGGTAAAGAGTTCAATGCAAGAAACACAGCTCTTGCATGAGAAGAACTTAATGACTATCTCCGATGGAAGGAGAGAGTTGCTCCACGCACTCCCAAACTACTGCTCACGGCAGCACTGACAACAAGGTGCCTGTGTATGTGATGCTCCCGCTCGACACGGTGAGTCACGGAGGGCACTTGAATAAGCCGAGAGCAATGAATGCGAGTTTGATGGCCCTGAAGCAAGCAGGGGTTGAAGGAGTTATGGTGGATGCGTGGTGGGGATTGGTGGAGAAGGACGGACCTTCCCAGTACAATTGGGAAGGGTATGCTGAGCTTGTGCAGATGGTGCAAAAGCATGGCATGAAGATCCAAGTCGTCATGTCTTTTCATCAGTGTGGAGGAAATGTTGGAGACTCATGCAGGTATGTTTGCTGGTTCTAACTGCTGTCTGTTACGTTTAATGCTCCCTAGAGCTTTATACAAGTTACAACACATGCTATAAGATTTAGTAAAAGGTGAAACATGTTTGAAAGTGCATTTAGGATGGCTAATAGAATGACCAAAAGCACTTTCTAGTGCTTTCTAGATAAGTACCTTTCTTTGGAAAAGCACTTCCAATCGCTTTTTCAAGAAGCAATTGGATTTTTAATAGAACCTTTGACATGCTCAAAAAAAGTTGCTTATGGGCAACTTCTTTTTTCTACATTAGAACTCCAAAACATGGTAGTCTTAACCTGCATAATTTTTTTAGATTTAGATCTCCATAATTAGTCATTAATTACTTAGGACTCGAGAAATTCTGTGGATTTATTAGTCATGTTTTTAATCTATCTCCACCTGGTGTGGATTTATGCACTGATCCACTAAACCACAATTATATGAATTTTCAGCATTCCTCTACCTCCATGGGTGCTTGAAGAAATCAGCAAGAATCCTGACCTTGTTTACACAGACAAATCAGGCAGGAGGAATCCTGAGTACATATCCTTGGGATGCGATTCATTGCCTGTTCTCAGAGGACGAACTCCCATTCAGGTCTACACCGATTACATGAGGAGCTTCCGCGACAGATTCATTGACTACTTGGGCGATGTTATTGTGGTAATTATCTGCAACAAAGATGTTATGACTTTAATTTATGCTATTATTCTTGCAGTAGGAATTCAAAAGTTCAAAAAAAAAAAAAAAAAAAAAAAAAAAACTAGACATAAAAGATCTTTGCCAGTGTTTCGCAAGAACAATAAAAAAGATTATCAAACAGAACAAAACTAATTTGGTCTAGGGCAACAAATGTTAACGTAACTTAAGGTCATTTTGAAGTTTACAAGGGGCTTGTTGAAAGGTCAGAAACTCAATTTCAATTACTTCTATAGGAAATTCAAGTAGGCATGGGTCCTTGTGGGGAGCTCAGATATCCAGCTTATCCAGAAAGCAACGGAACTTGGAGGTTTCCTGGAATTGGAGAATTCCAATGCTATGACAAGGTAATTACAGTGAACATAAGCATTTTTCCTTACTTTTGACCAATTAAAATGACCTTAAACGGAACGACATAATAACTCGATACAATTTCTGCCATATTCATTATTCCTAAACATGCTTTTATGACATGCAGTACATGAGAGCTTCCCTGGAAGCATCAGCAGAGGCACTGGGGAAGAGAGATTGGGGAAGAAGTGGACCACATGATTCCGGCCACTACAATCAATTTCCTGAAGACACAGGATTTTTCAAAAGGATGGAACGTGGAACACTGAGTATGGACAGTTCTTCCTTGAATGGTACTCCGGAAAGCTACTAAGACACGGAGATAGAATACTGTCAGCTGCAACAGGGGTATTCCAAGGATCTGGAGCTAAATTATCTGGAAAGATTGCTGGGATTCACTGGCACTACGGATCAAGATCACATGCGGCTGAATTAACTGCGGGCTACTACAACACTAGACACAGAGATGGTTACCTACCAACTGCCAAAATGTTCAGCAAAAACATGGTTGTATTAAACTTCACCTGCATGGAAATGAAAGATAGAGAACAGCCAGAGCATGCAAATTGCTCACCAGAAGGTCTAGTGAGGCAGGTAAAGATGGCAACCAAGAGAGCTGGAATTGACCTAGCAGGAGAGAATGCACTGGAGAGGTATGACACTGGTGCGTTTGCACAAGTTTTAGCAACAAGCAGATCAGATTCCGGTAATGCCTTAAGTGCATTTACATATCTCCGAATGAACAAGAGATTGTTCGAGGGGGATAACTGGAGGAACATGGTTGAATTTGTGAGGAGCATGGCAGAAGGTGGCCGGAACAGACGGCTGGCAGAGTGTGACTCCACCGCAAGCGACCTCTTTGTTCATTTTATCAAAGAGAAGAAAGTTGAGAAAACAAAAGAAACTCTTCTCGTGTAGAGATGTTAGAAATTCTTTATGTGCAGCTTCTAGTACAAACAGAGTATAGTTTAATTACTTTAATATAAAAAGAGAAAACAAAAGTATAATTATATGCAAACACCATAATTTGCATCACTGAGATGTAAGATGGTTAAAGAAAAATTAATTGTATATGTATCTGCTACATGAGTGGCCAGTTGATGTTCATTCAATCCTATGCAGGTATTCATAAGTTTAGTTTAGAGGATGTTTGGCTGACTCTTTTGAAAAGGTTGCAAGTCCGGTATGTTAAATAATAGTATGCAACATCCAAGAACTTCGACATAATGTTCATCAATTTCTCTATTTTTTCTTTGCTTAATGCCTCATATATCTGTATTTCTCCATTCAAATGATTCATTGTACTCTTCTTTTGTTATTTACATATTAGCTGAAAACTATTGATAACACAACCAAACCAAGAGTAACAGGGATGAGAAACATATTACATACCCCAATCACTTAGCCACTCGGTTTGACTGCCAGAACAATATGTGGAAGCCAATTTGTCAGCTAGAGAGGTCGTTGGGAAAACTTGATTTTAGCTTTTGATGAAACTAAAGAAAACACTGCATCAAAAACACAAAGAACAACGTTCATAAGTAAATCATGACGATGGTTAGCCAAAGTCTGATCAAAACCAAGTAACACTGCCTTGTTAATCCAGAGAATGCTTTTCATTAATTCGAATTCGAGGACAAATAGCATGAACCATAACAATTTCTTGCTTTTGACAAGAAAAACAAATTTCATTAATGATAAAGGTAAAAGAAACGGCTTCGAAAACAGAACAATCCAAATTCATTCGTACTTCAACAACTATCTCACAACATACAAAAGGATCAAATGTTATTTGAACTCTACAAAACAGCACATTCCACCATCAAGGATAATGTTAGAAGACTTCAAAACATGGTCAAATATCCCCCCTACAGAAGTGCGTTTTGTGAAAGCCCTGAAGACATATTTCTTTTCTCAGTCCCAAGCCATATGGATGAAAGTGGTTTTTCTCACTGCCCACTTGATGCCATAAACCTTGATCCAAGCACCTGAACATGTCACAACCTAAATTAAGTTCTATAATTGATACATTATTCAATAATTAAACTTGCGTATCGGAAAAAAATCGCAGCTATTCAAGTATTCAACCATATTTATTATATAGATGAACACTGAGAAAACAATATAAGAACCATAAAAGACCAATTAACACATATGACAAGAACAGTTTAGGTTTCAACAGCAATTCTAATAAGGAGTAAGAAGACTATTAAAGCAAGATGTGATTGTCAAAGAAAAGGCACAGAACAGATAAATCATTCCCTTAATAATTTCCAATACTGAAATAAGAACATATGGTTCCGATTTATGTTCATCCTCCAAGATACCATCAGAAACCTTTAACAATGAAGCATATTGATGAGTAACTCTATTGCAATCATACTCCAGTGCTTTGTTCTTGGCATTTTATCAGCATTACTATAAACAAAACTGTTGGAAAATGTACTTTGACAGGAATATCACAAGCATCCTATCCTTTTTTTTCGGTTCAGTCACCACAACGTTAGGTACGTAAAAAGAACGCCATAGTTCAAGGAAAACAGTGAATCATTGCCTGCTGGTCAGAGGATTTTTCATAGTCATATATTAGCTTCTTCTTCTTTTTGATTAAGATATTGTGCAACTGTTAAATTTTGAATTCCAGTACCTTCCTCACGCCAAAATCAATTACAATCTTTAGAAACGAAACGGAAACACAAATTCATGGCATTTTGCAGAATCAGTAACCCACAATTACTTGCAAACAAATACAGATATCCATTCATTGTTAATTAACAGAGCTTGGACTCACTTGCAAGTTGCAACAACAGTTAATTAATCCCAATTAAAAATTGAATACAAGATAAATTTGGAGAGTGGGAGAGTAGAATTACCCCAAATCAATTCAACTTCAAGCATGTGGAGGCGGAGGTGCATGTGGCGGATCGGAGTTGGGATTCTGGCGGCGAAGGTCTTCGATCAAGCTTCCGAGTTCTTTGCGAGCAGATTCTCTTCCGAACATGAATCCGTACCATCCGGAAACAGCAGAGAAGACAGTTGCAGTGACAATTGTATGAAGGAGTGTGAAGGTTTTCTCCATTTTCTTGGAATTGCGGTTTGGGGCGTTTCAAGGGTTTATGAAGGATCTTACACGGGAAATTTGGACAAAAGAGTATTTTGGATCTAAATAGAGTTATATAGCCGGCTTAATATTACGATTTAGTGTTATTACTAGTCTAACGAATTTTCCAACAAAGTTTTCATTGCATTGTCGAGCCAAACGATGGATTCAGATTAGGTGATTAATCATCTTTTCTAGGTAACCGATTTATCTCATGTTTTATCACTTAAAATATTGTTTGCGAAGAGCAACACCACCAGTGGGCAATTGTCCTTGATGGGCAATGAAATCTATTGCCTATCCCCAACCCCAAAATACTTCAGCCCAGTTGGGCAATTAGGCTCAAGGCAAACCCAAGGAAGAAGTCAAGTGAAAGTTTATAGCCCGAACGCTTGAGTGGATGTGACGCAAGGCTAATGTCAGTATGACGTTAACTATGTTATAAAAATATTTTGCGTTGTCTACATGCATGTGGGGGCGCATCTCCAACAATGTTTCAAAAGGTAGGGCTCACATGGCAGCCCTCTTAGTTACCATTGCCCTGGAGCAATGTGGCAAACAGCCGGTTACTATTCATTTAAAGGGATTGAGTTGCCTATTTTCCAGAGAGGCCTTAGGATTGATTTGGGATTGTGTTACTTTAAAAATTTTAAAAAAAAAAAAACATTTTTTTTTTTTCAAACGGTTGTCAATTGATAGTAGAAGAGTATAGAAAAACAGAAGCAGGATTTACCATATTTATGAAAAAAGAGCTTATTTTTTCAAAACATAATAATCATTGATTTAATGAAATGTTTAAATAGCAAATATACCGCCACATATTTTGCAAATTACAATATTTACCCCTCCACGGTACACCTTATCCACCCATGGGAAAGAAGAAGTTAGAGGACCTGGAACCGTCTTATGGATCCCGACTACCATTGGAGAGCTTATCAAAGCAGCAGGGGAGCAACTATAATTTTTACCGTGTGGTTCCGGTATAATCTTAACAGAAGATGCAGATAAAATTGTTGATGCGGACTGGATAAATAATGTTGGGAAGCTGTATTTGGTCAGTGAGACAAATTTTACAAACTCTTGGAGCAGGAACTCATGCACAAACGGATAATAAGGTTGCACTACTTCAAGTTCTAGCTCAATGCCAACAACTGAAGGCGGACACGGAATTCCGACACAGGTTTATGTGAGTACCCCAGGCTGGTGTACTACATGCTACACTTTTCATGGCAATACGATGCCTCAAATCTCTCTCGTCTCTGCGATTCACCATGTTGATGCATTGGATGCTTGTAATCTGTGATTGGTGAGATTAAAGCATCGGTTTCAATATGGAAGGAGGAGGTATACGCCTATACGGTAATGGAGAGGTTGGGAAGGAGAATTCAGAATTCCTGGAGCAGAGGTCGGCTCTCGGGGAAATGTCTAGTTCTGAGAAACAAGTCACGGTTGATTCCGGGAGGAAGAGATGTTGTGGAGGCTAAGATGAGGAAGGAGAATCCAGGATCTGCAGCGGCAAGCTATGCTGCTTTTTTATTTTTCATCCATGTAATGAATTTGTTACTCATCATAGCCTTTGTTCGCGCTGTGTATTTTTTTTAAACAAGGGGATGGAAAATCACTCAATGGATTCTAGCATAAACACAGTGGCCAAAAAAGGGGTGTGTGAATCACAACACGCGTGAAGCGTCCTGTGTCCCTCTTTTCAACCACTTAACCACATAGCACACCACTCGGACAAATTTTATACATGAATTCAAAGGGCCGGGAAAAACTTGTTCAATCTGCATGGTAATGCATAGAACTCGTCATTCCTAATATCTGAACCATACAAGCTAAACTTCTCCCACCAGTACAAACCACTGTCTTTTCGAGATGCATCGTCTTCCCGGGCCAGTGAACAATCCAAGACCATTGCTACCATTGCAGCTACCGTCGTGTGAGACATGAAGATCACAGTAACTACATCGTCGAACTGAAAGTAATTGAACAAGATTTGATAAGGCCAACAGTAACATTCTAATGGAAGCAAGACACAAACATTAATAGACTAGTCGATAAATATTCTCACCCATCCAGAACTGCTTTCGGCGCCTTTGTGATAGTATTCTCTGAAGTATTGTGGGATAGAAATCCCCAAGAAGAAAGAGAACCCCAGAATAAATTTTGTTCTAAAACTGTTCAGGTTACAAAACTGAAGAAAGCCAAGCCCTGCAGCAGCTGCAAAAGGACATTGTAGGCGACGGTTAAATACGAGTCATTGCTAGCGTCTTCTGGTTTTGTTGCAGTTTGTCCAGCAACTATCGCACATAGTTATCTTTTATTCTAGCGATATTTTAATCTTTACTCAGGCCGTGGATTCAAGATCATCATAATGCATGTTCTGTGAAATTATCATGTTGCAAATGTCAATATAAGGAGCAGATGTCTGAGGAAACAGAGATACATACCGACATAGCCATATAAGACGCAGTAAATAGCTGCTATGATTGGTGTTGGAATAGAAGCAAAAAGGGCTCCAAATTTTCCTGGTTAAGAACACCATCTTGGCAACATGAGATACCATTTCAAGTACAATAATCAACACAAAACTACGTTGTAAGTAAAATCGTCTGCATACCGAATACTGAGAAGAAAATCATGAAGCCAGCTGAAATTTGGATGACTCTACGGCTTCCAACTTTTGTCAATGCTAATAGGCCAGCATTCTCACTACACCGAAAGCAGAAGGATGTAATAAGAAGAAAGCGTCTGAAACAAGACATTTTTTTGGCAAACAGAGATTAGTCTGAGTTCATTACACTGATGCTGCAGAACCAGTTAGGGAACCAAACATCCCGTCAAATAGAACTCCTATACCCTGAAAGGCAGAAAAATCATATCAAAGTCGGATACTAAACAACGCATCTATAGTGAAAAGATTCACAATTCTGAAGGAAGAAGGCAACAGGCAACGATGTCTTACCAACCAGCCAACACCCCGGCTAACAACAGAAGGTGGTACAGGTGTGGCACTCCCGTATCTTGCTGTAGTGAAAAACGTACCAGTCGACTGTAAACAATGCAGGTACACAATCAATATAAATATAACTTGTATTGACATGTTCTCTAAACAAACCCTATGCTAATTATGAAATGAAGTTAACGCAACGGTACGAGTGTAGAAGTTTTAACATGAATCTAGTTTGAATTATTACTGCACTACACGCATTTCTAAATGACTTGAGGGAAAAGGAATGGACCTCAAAGGTTGAAACGAAAGAAGCAGCAATCATTGCAAGAGCTTCTCCTACATTAAAAGTAGGGCTCCCCCATTGAAATGGATATGGAATGTATATCCTGCATATTTACATAGAAAAAGGACAAGAAGTTCACTGTTGTCAATGAACTTGAGAGTCAACAGGAATTAATACAGAATTACAGATTTGCACATCGAGACCGACCAGGGAGCTGCACCAACAATGCCAGAACGATCAGTGCGGCAACTCAGTTGAGTTGTTGTAGGTTTGTTATTATATGCACCGCTTGAGGTTAGAAGTTGTGCAAACAACCATACAATTGGGATGGAGAACAACACCGCAAATCTGTCGCATATTTTCTTCTTTGTATTTAAAATATGAGGAAGATACTGCAAAACATTTAATCATGTATAACATTACCTATTGCGATGAGAAAACTAACGGAAACAACTCTCATTCAATATCATACACTGTTCGTTATCTGGGGTAGACAGAGGTAATAACTAATTATAATTGATCAATATTTACCTGTGCAACAAAAACCATGACGATCAACTCTGGAAGCCCGAGTTCAACACATCTGGCCAACTAGAAGAAAAGGAAACGAGAGGTGGATAGTGAATGCACTGCCTATCAAATTTAATGGTGAAGAGTAACCGAAACACGATTGTCATAATACAAAACACCAGATTAGGATGATGAAGCTATTCATGAATCAATGTTTACTTCATGAATTTCCATACTTAAATGTAGTTTTAAGTGGATTGGGAGCAAGGAAGTGGGGAAGCAAAAGTATGAGAAAAGAATGAGGGATCGATCAAGAACTCTTTACCGTAGGGAAACCGAGATGATAAACTCCAAGTCCAGTAAAAGTTATGTATGGGACAACAGAAAGAGGGCTAAGGCACCTGAATCAAGTAAAATAAGAAGTCTTGGCCACAACTCACAAAGTATCAACTATCTCTAGTACTAATAATCTGAGAATTTTAAACAATTTCTTGCCATCCAAGAAACCAGACCTTCAGTTCAAAGTAACTTTACCTTATAGCATTTCTCCACAAGCCTAGGAAGCCGATGATCATCTGGAAACTGGCGGTAATGATTAAGGCACCCTGTATACCTCTCATAGTGTTGAAAAACTTCTGAAAGATTCATTCATAAGGCCAAATAAAAAAAAAAAATTAGATTCGTACAGAAAAAAGAAAAGTGAAATCCCTAGCTAGTAGAAATTATTCTTCAACCAAAAAGAAGAAAATAAATTAAGCCTGACCTCATGAGGATCTGAGTAATCCTTGTATCTACTGGCTAGGAGTATGGATGTTGTGGGGATTACATATGTATATGAAGCCGTTACCACAGTAGGAAGTCGGGTTCCGAATAGAGACTGGAAGAGCGTGTTGAACCCCGAAACAAAGAGCATGGTTTGTATCACCCTAGCCTTCTCAATCTGTGACAAAAGGGGAGTGAAGTTAATCAAAAGAATGCAAGCACAAAAAATAAAAGAGAGTCATAAAAGTTGGCAAGCAAGTATTAAATCCTTACATCTCCTCCACCCATTTTGGGGACAAGCATACTTGGAATTAGGACAGTAATCCCAAGAGTCAATAGGTAGTGCTGGAAACCCAGCATGATTGCTTCAGCTGCACAACGACGGAAGATATATTATACGTTTAGTAATGGTGAACATGGAGTATAACGGAATCAAAAAAATGAACATGAAACATTTGGTAATTTATATTTGAGAAAAAGGGTAAGGGGGAATGCATACGCCATGGTGGCGGGCTGTTAACACAATACTGAACGCCTGGTAATTGCTCTTTCAGTGGGTGTGGTTGTAACTCCTCGGTTTTGTTGTTGTTGTTGTTGCCACCACCATTTCCACCATTGCCACCACCACTCCCACCATGCCCACTACCATTTCCACCACCACCATTGCTACCTCCGTTGTTATT